TGTTTCACACCTGCAACTTTATCCGTAAATGGGCCTCTCTCCTCATTTCTCTATCTCTCCCTAGCTCCCTCTGTCGTCCGTCTGCCCCTCCCTTCCTCTTAAGTACACGTCCATTATTGAAATTGATAATCCCCCCATTGATTTTCTATCAAAAATTGCAACTTTTTTTCCGTCAAACAATAAATCTATTAACACTCATCTTCACCATTGGAATAGAGGGCCACTTGCTCAAGAATTGTATCTTTTAAAAAAAACCTTTATTTTCGAATATACTAACCTCTCACCATAAAACAAGTATAGTTTCTTAAAATATACTACGTAAGTATGTAAACAACAGCACAACATTAATATAACCAGAAATATGTCAAGTCATGATATATCAAATGCCGCAGTAATATAATCATGTGATAATCAAGTATAATCAATTGCTCATCAATCTATGCTAGCACACAAGTCGGAGTTTCATAATGCAACTTGTACGATAGGACTGGATGTAATCAATACGCTCTAGTACTACGATCACGTGAAGACTGACGCCGAGCCGTGGTCACATACGAGTTGGAATTGCCTAATGCAATCTATACGACAGGACTGGCACCTAACTTGGATCCAAGGCGAGCGAATGGTGCGGATGTGAACATACACATGAAGGACTGACCCTGGCTCTGGACGGAGTACTAACACCGGGCTGCAACAGATGAGCATGTACAAATATGTATGAATGTCATGACAATTATATCCCAACCATATAGCAACATTTATCACATTTAATATCACAATAACAAATATATGTCAAATACACATTTATGGCAAATAAGCGTAAAAAAAAAAGAAGTAAATACGCATTTTTGGAAACTATAACTATGTATAGTTATAAAAACAAACTGCCCACTCACCTGAAGTCTGCGCTACAACTCCCTAACACGAATATCAAGGCATCACGAACGATCGTTGACTAGAACAATTATCAAATCACAACTCAGGATTCTTATCGATAGAACACGCAACTCACGTAAAAGACATCCCTAAGGACGTTCTAGAATGATTTGAAACCCATTGACCAAAAGTAAACCGTCAGTCAAAGGTCGGTAGTAAAGTCCACAACCTTACATAACTCAATCCGGAGCATCCATACCTCGGATTTCTGATCCGTAACTTCCAAAGATCATCCACATTATGCTTTTAGAACAACATCCTAAAGTTTCGGAATGATCCAACGATTGGAACGTCAATTCATGCAAGGACCCGGTGATGGCCAACTAGGTGGTCAACCATGAAACTATATTAAAACATCGTAATTTCACTAAACGGATGTCAAATATAGAATTGGAGCATCCAAATTAGCCTAAGATGGTCAGGTGAGGTCTCGCCCCACATGCCGCCGCACACGATGGCTGGCCACCACGGTTCGTCTGAAAAATTGCACTATTTCTAAAAATTCTCAATTTTCACAGCCATTGTTGCTTTTGGTTGACTTTCGTACCCTAAAACCGCCATGTACCGTGGTTAATCAAGGTGGGTCTTGGGTGAGTTTTGTAGAAGGGAATGAGAGCTTCAAGATGGCGGTGGTGGTGTCGAAAAATTCCACCAGAGTTGCCCGAAATCGACCTTAGAAAATGGGAGGTCGCAGGAGTGTGGGTCGACGGGAAGGAGAAGCTGGGAGCTTCTCTCCCTCTTCCTGATTGGCCCTCTTTTTTTTTCCACTTTTTTGATTGGTCCTCAAAAGAAATAATATGATTGGTTAGTCTTCCCACAAGGTGGGAGTTTAATTTAATTTAAAATTAAACTTTGAATAACTAATTTCAAATGTTTGTAGCTATATCGTTATAATCTGGACTCACAAACGAGTTTCGCCTATGCGTTCGTAGTGACGAGTACTAAGAGGATACGCTAAAAAAATAAGTCCTACATTCCTCTAGATGATGGTCAATGGAAGTCAAAGTCCTTGCTTCTAGGGCATTTTCGTAAATTCACACTTTTAAAATTAATAAAAACGTAAAATTAGAGACGGGTTGTCACATTGACCATTTAATTTTTCTTATTATTGAATCTGACACACCATAATGTGTCACCAATAATTTTTTTTTCAACTTTATTTTACTGTTGAAAATTCACCGTTCCAGACCATCAGGCCATGAAAATCCCAGGGTTAACATCTCGCCACGCCATAAAGACGTTGAGGTTTTTGATGGAGTTGCTGTAGTGGACCCACAATAACCGAAGTTGTCGGCTCCACTCACTCGAACATGGTTGATGTCATACTGACGTCAGCCTTGCTTCCTGCTGCATGGTCGAGCTCAAATTGCTCGCAATGTTGGACAGTTATGTGTTGGCCCATCAATTGCCCCCACAAAATAGATAGGTGGAAGTGTTTTTTTGGGCTAAACAGCAATTTGGCAGCCCTTACCTTGCCTTTTGGGTAATGGGTGGACTGAGGGCTATCTCTAAGATTTCAAGAGACCTATGTGAAATCTAAAAAAATGCGGCTCTTTAAGATGGTTTTCCAAAAAAAAAAAAAAAAAAAAAAAAAGTAGGACAATCTATTGATAGTAGAAAGTAATAACTTAAATTAGAACAAATTTTAGGACTCACTGATTGTAAGATTACAAATGTCATGAAATAATACGTAAAAAGATCTACAAACATAATCTTTACTAAATAATCCAAAGCAGTTTAATCTTAAACAACCAAACAAGAAAAGAAGCTTCAATAACTCTAACTTTAAAGTTTTACTTGAATATAAGGGAATGAGGATCCTCTCTGGATCCTCTTTGTGAGGATCCTAGGGATCCTCTAATCGTGTCCATTCATCATATATCGTGTGGTCAGAAATCATTGTAAATTCTTTTATTTAAAATTGAATATAAATAGTATTTGACGAAAACTGACCGCACGATATACGATAAACGAACATGATTGGAGGATTCTCGAGATCCTCACGAAGAGGATCTAGAGAGTATCCTCATCCAATATAAAGCATTATGATATAATAAAATTGGAATTAAAAAAAAAAAAACGTTTTTAGGATGTTTATTTATTTATTTTTTGCTAGATATAAGGTGTTGTTATGAACATTTCAAATATCTCATTGTGCGTTTCAAAATTTTCTATTTGGAAGAAAATTACATGTACACAATAAGATTTTAAAGTGTTAATAAAAGTATTTTTTTTAATGTACAACATTTTTACATTATAAATATTAGATGACAAAAACTTTGAAAGGCGTTTTAGGGCTGGTTTGGTATTGCTGTGCTTTGAAAAAAAAAAACTGCTTCTGTTATGCTATGAGAATAAGCAGCTGTGAAATAAAGCAACATAGTGTTTTGTAAATTTTTTTGTAAAAGTGCTTTTGAAAAGAAAAAAAACAGTATTATAGTGTTTGATAAACTTTTATGTAAAACAGATGTGAAAAAAAGTTGGTTTTTCAAAACTGGGTTTTGCAGCTTTGTGTCTTTGGCTTTTTTTCACCTAATATTGTGAAAAAAAGTTGAAACTGAATGTTTACTAAATACAAAGAGCTTTTTTTTATAGAAATTTTTTCAAAATCACCTCAACACCAAACTAAAGCTTAAAAGCTAGAGATTGCAGTTTTCACTCATTCCGAAAGCCACCTCTTGGTGGAAGGCACTGATTGCCTCTCTGGTGGCTGGGCCCGGTGTTTCTTCTAGTCATCAATAAAACCTGTGGTGCCATTTTTTTCAATTAACTACAGATTTCGTTAACCAAAAATAAAAAAATAAAAAAAAAACTCAACATCTGACACCCTAGTGTTTATATTTAAAAAATTCCTACGTAGGAAAGCTAATAAAATAACAATGAAATTTAAACCATAATACTATTATGATTAATATAAAGATTAGTTTTGAAAAATATATTTAACGAAATTAATATGGAAAAATTATTATGGTTCCTTGACGACTCCAGTCAATCATTTTTGCTACAATGAGACATGAATACGATCATTCTTGTGTTTATTTTGTTGATTTTATGTTGATATGATTATCTATTACAAGTTATGTATGTATGATTTAAAATAAATTAGAGTAACGCTACACTTACCAATCTACATTTATGTTAATATGATTATCAGTTGCAAACTCTATTAGAAGTAGAGCCGCAAATACATGTTCATTGCTATTAGACGAATAGTACATATACAGTATAACAAATATAATAATAACACTTAATTTTTTTTAACAAAAAAAAACCAAAATGTTCCGATGCAGACAAGTGCTTATATGATGACGTCAACAAAGTCCCTTTCCCTACATGCCATTGCCTACAACGGATTTGGATAGCAACCGGATCCTAATTATGGGAATCTTAGGAATCCTCACATCTTAACTATTCGTGGTATATCATATGGTTAAAATCATTTGAATTTTTTTATTAAAATTAAACACAAATAGTATCTAACGAAAACTGGTTACATGATGTAAGATGTTTGGTTAGGATATGAGGATCATAGCATCCCCACAAAGAGGATTCAGTATCCTTCTACAACTACAAGCCAAAATAAGAATTTAAACCACATTATTATTAGATTATTGTGAGGTTAAACCGACCTTATTTCCTCTTAATGTAGCTAATATCATTTATTTCAAAAAAATAAAAATAAATAAAAATGTACAAAGCAAAGTTGGCATGTAACACTAAAAATAAAGTTCCCGTTCATGACGAAAGTCACATGGGCTGGGCCCACAGCCAAGCCATAAAAGAGCCCAAAACGACTCTTCGTCCTCCCTTCGCCCTCCATCGATTCTCCGCCACCAATCATCCATCACATTTCCCAACCAATCCCCAGCAACTTGTTGACGTGTCGGAAGGAGCGACATGACGCGGATACCTGGAAATGCACCTCCCAAGGTGCGGCACACTCTAACTGACCAGCAACAGCGCTCCACGTCTCCCCTCCGGTTCCAGCCTCCACCAAATCCAACCCCTCCCCCTCACTTTCCCCAACCCTATAAATATCAAACCTCACTTCTCCAATCCTCATATAAATTCGCTTCCATTTATTGTTTCTATTTTATTTTATTTTATTCTCTCAAAAATTTAATTTTATTCTTAAAAATGAAAAGTCCGACTCTAACCGGATTGCTGAAGCAGGTCGCGGCGGAGTTCCCGAACCGCCGCGCCCTTTCCGTTTCCGGAAAATTCGATTTGACCCACGCGCGGTTGCAGGAGCTCGTCGACCACGCCGCCTCCCTCTTAATTGCCTCCGGCGTCGCCCCAAACGACACCGTCGCACTCACATTCCCCAACACCGTCGAGGTATCGCATCGTTTTATTTGGTTTCCCAGCATTTTCTCCGCAACCAAACAAGTTTTTTAATATTCCCCTCTTTTCTGTAGTTTGTTGTGATGTTTTTGGCGGTCATTCGGTGCCGGGCAACAGCGGCGCCGCTTAACGCGGCGTACACGGCGGAAGAGTTCGAGTTCTACCTTTCCGACTCCGAGTCGAAGCTCCTGATCACGCCGGAAGAACCGATTCATGCAGCCAAAGCGGCGGCTTCGAAGCTCAACATTCCTCACTTGACCGCCAACCTGTCCGACGCCGCCAGCCACGTGACTCTCTCATCCGCCGTCGAGGCGAGCCCCCACTCGGTATCGCAACTAGTCAACGACCCGTCCGACGTGGCGCTCTTCCTCCACACGTCGGGCACTACGAGCCGGCCCAAGGGAGTCCCCTTGACGCAGCTCAATCTGGCCTCCTCCGTCCAGAACATCAAATCTGTCTACAAACTCACTGAGTCGGACTCGACGGTGATCGTCCTCCCTTTATTTCACGTCCACGGATTAATCGCCGGGTTATTGAGTTCCTTCTCCGCCGGCGCCGCCGTGGCTCTCCCAGCCGCGGGCCGATTCTCCGCTTCAACCTTTTGGTCCGACATGGTCGCATACAACGCCACGTGGTACACCGCAGTCCCCACCATCCACCAGATCATCCTCGACCGCCACAGCAGCAAACCCGAGCCGCAATACCCGAATCTCCGGTTTATACGGAGCTGCAGCGCCTCCCTGGCTCCGTCTATTTTGGCGCGGCTGGAAGAATCGTTCGGCGCGCCGGTTTTAGAGGCCTATGCGATGACGGAGGCGACCCATTTGATGTGTTCGAATCCGTTACCGGAAGACGGAGCCCACAAGCCCGGGTCCGTGGGTCGACCAGTGGGTCAGGAGCTTGCTATTTTGGACGAGAATGGTGCGGTTCAGCCGGAGGGCGTGAACGGCGAGGTTTGCATTAGAGGGCCCAATGTGACTAAAGGGTACAAGAACAACGCGGAAGCGAACAAAGCGGCTTTCTTGTTCGGGTGGTTTCATACCGGGGACATCGGAGTTTTGGATTCCGATGGGTATTTGAGCCTGGTGGGTCGGATTAAGGAGCTGATTAACCGTGGAGGTAATGAGATTAATCGAAATTGCACGCCGACTGTTTGATAAAATGCGGCAGTGAAGTTTGGCTGACAATGTGTTTTGTATTGTTGCTTTCAGGGGAGAAGATATCGCCAATTGAAGTGGATGCAGTGCTTTTGTCACATCCAGAGGTTGCCCAAGGCGTTGCATTTGGAGTTCCTGATGATAAATATGGCGAAGAGGTACGTGGTCAAAATAAACCACATTGTTCCTGATGATAAATTAGCCGAATGAACGATTCTGATTGTTATGCGATGGATATTTGATCTTTAATCATTTTAGCCAATTTTCCAATTCGATATTGTTTGTGCCTGTAGATTAACTGCGCCGTAATCCCAAGAGAAGGCTCGAGCTTAGACGAGGAACAAGTGATGCGACATTGCAAGAAGAATCTGGCTTCCTTCAAAGTACCCAAGAAGGTGTTCATCACCGACTCTCTTCCGAAAACTGCCACCGGGAAAATCCAACGGCGGATCGTGGGGGAGCACTTCCTTGCACAAATATCCACAGCCAAAGTTCCCAAGTTTGGCGCTTAATTTTACTACAATTCTAGCAGCCTAGCACAAGAACATTTTTTTAGTTTAATTTTGGCTAAAATGTCAGAATGGTCATGTGTTATGGTCATGTGGTTCCCGTGTTTTCAATTTGGTTGTATCTCTACTAGCCAATTAAAGACATTTTATTCAACCTCTTGTAAAATATTCATATGAAAAATTATAAGAAATATAATTACTCTTTCTCTTCATAGAAAAAATCTAAATCAATGAGAAATAACATATATAAGAGATAATACTTCCAATCTAAAAAATTATTAAGGTTGTGACATAAAAAAGAGAGGGAGAACGTTAGGGAGGAGAATGATTTTTCTTTAATTTTTAATTTAATTTTATTTTAAAATATTTTAAATCAAATAAGTAATTTTATAAATAAGTATAACAATTTATGAAATTTTCGGAGATTAGATGAAAAATATTCTGTTTTTAATACATCAATATTTTTATACTAAAGAAAGGGGGAGTTCTGCTAAACTATACAATGAGCAATCTAATTTGGTATCGAATTCGCCGTCTACGAGATTCGAACCTAATACTTCTCACTTCCAAATGAAGAAGAATACCACCAGACCGTAATACTGAGTGACAAATAAAAATATTCTTAATAATACAAAGATCATTTTAACATTTAAGCTTTAATTTAAGGAGGAAGATTCTCTGCCCTCTTATTTTCTGTGTCCTTCTGTTTATGTGGTTATAGTTAAGTCGCATCAACATTTTATATTATTATTCATTTGTGTCTTATTATCTTTATAAAAAAAATAATATAAAATATTAATATAACTTACACAAAACTGAAAAACATAAAAGAGTACGAGAAGTGGAAGGGCAAAGAATCTGCCTTTTTTTATTTTATTAAACACATTGGTGTGACAGTGGCACAATTGTTAACGTGTAGTTGACTGGTGTGTGCGTATTTTATTTGACCACAATGTTCAAGCGAGGAATATTGACGAGGATGTTGTTTGATTCGACTTTGATTCCCCTGGCTTTGTGAGGCTAGGACTATTTATTTGCGTTGGTTTTGATTCCGAGGGCTCGGACTTTGCCACTTTCCAACTCCAAGTCGATCGCCACTTACTCAAATGGTGGCGGCCTTTTTACTTTTATAAAGGAAATTTCTTACTGTAATAATCCACTTACTTTTGTTGTACCTTCTAAAAACGTTCTAGTTGTACCTTCCACAAAACTTGTTTTTTATTTTTTTATATTTAACCGTTACATCATTACTAATTTACGTATTACAGTACGGAATAATTACTATACTCATAATCTTCGGTGAAAGATTTCTAGTTCATAATATTTTTATATTTATGAAAGTTGATATGATTTTTATTCAAAGCCAACAAGAGGATAGAACATACTACTCAGTACAAGGGATGAAAATATCCTTCTCAATAAAGTCTCAAATCAAAGAGGGAGTTTCATCAAACCTATCACAATCAGTTCCCGTGTTTTCAATTTTGTCAATTTGGTCATCGTGTTTATCTTTATTAGTCAATTAAGGACGTTTCATTCAACCTCTCGTAAAAAATTCATATGAAAAATTATAAGAAATATAATTACCCTTTCTCTTCGCAGAAAAAAATCCAAATCAATGAGAAATAACACATATAAGAGATAATACTTCTAATCTGAAAAATTATTAAGGTTATGACATAATAGAAAAAGGGTAACGTTAGGAAGGAGGTTGGGGAATTGGGGGGAGAATCATTTTTCTTTAATTTTTAATTTTATTTCATTTTAAAATATTTTAAATCAAATAAGTAATTATATAAATAAGTTTATAACAATCTATAAAATTTTCACAGATTAGATGAAAATATTCTTTTTTTTTAATACATCAATATTTTTACACTAAGAAGAGGTGAAGTTCTGCTAAACTATACAATGGATAATCTAATTTGGTATCAAATTCGCCATCCACGAGATTCGAACCTAAGACCTCTCACTTCCAAGTGAAGAAGAATACCACCAGACCGTATGATTAAATGACAGATAAAAATATTCTTAATAATACAAAGATCATTTTAACATTTAAGCTTTTAATTTTTTATTGAACACATTGGTGTGACAGTGGCACCATTGTTAACGTGTAGTGGATTGGTGTGTGCGTATTTTATTTGACCACAATGTTCGAGCGAGGAATAATGACGAGGATGTTGTTTGATTCGACTTTGATTCCCCTGGCTTTGTAGGGCTAGGATTATTTATTTGGGTTGGTTTTGATTCCGAGGGATCATACTTTGGAAAGAAAATTCTTTACTTTCTTATTCTCATCTCTTTCCATTTTCTCTTCTCACACATTATTTTTTGTCTTATTATTTCTATAAAAAAATCAATATAAGATGTTAACGTAACTTAATCGTGACCGTCAAATAAAATAGCATAAAAAGCTAAAGAAATTAGAAGAATAGATAATCATATTCCAATATTTTGCCACTTTCCAACTCCAAGTCGATCGCCACTTACTCAAATGGTGGCGGCCCTTTTACTTTTATAACGGAAATGTCTTACTGTAATAATCCACTTACTTCGGTTGTACCTTCTAAAAACCCTCTAGTTGTACCTTCCACAAAACTTGGTTTTTATTTTTTTATATTTAACCATCACATCATTACTAATTTAAGTATTATAGTACAGAATAATCTTAATCGAAAGATTTCAAGTTCATAATATTTTTATATTTTATGAAAGTTGATATGATTTTTATTCAAAGCCAAGAAGAGGAAAGAATATACTACTCATCACAAGGGATGAAAATATCCTCCTTAATAAAGTCTCAAATCAAAGAGGGAGTTTCATCAAACCTAGCACAATCAGCTCCATAACGGAGGGCAAAATGAACAAGCCTATGGATTGCAGAGTTTGCTTGGCGACAGACGTGGGACGCGGTAGGTTCAACGATCAAATGTAGCAAAAACTTGGCATCTTATATGATAGACTCGGTAGTAGACATATTCGTATAAAACACCTTTAGAGCTGAAATGATTTGTAGCCTATGGGCTACTGAGTTTGCTTGAATAACAACAATATTTATGATCTTGTCATATTGTTAAATCGGAAGACTTCAACAATTATCTTGTAGTCTTGTTGAGAAGCACACACAGCATTATAGGGAGCATTTTTGCTTACCAACCTAAACCTTTGTGAATGCTTACTGTACATCTAATTATCTATTATGTGTCACTTATTTGCACGAAACATAATACCCGTTGCAACATTTGGATCATGGGCACCTACATAATTAACACATTTTCAGCTAACAAATTTCTCAATGTAAATATCAACTAGCCAAATAAAAGTTGCAAGTGCAAGAAAATAGGACCAAACAGATTTCAACGTAAATATGTTTAATTATTATTAAATTAATATTCAAATCAATAAGTTTTCAATTAGAGATGTTGGTCAACCAGACGTGGTCATAAGCAGTTTTTGTGATCTGAAAACATTTTTAATTTTAAAAGCACTTTCAAACAAACTCTTCGTTTGCAAATTGCTTTTAGAATTATCAATTATAAAAAGAGAAATACTAAGGAGACTTTCTCAAAAGTGAGACTCTCCATAGACTCTTTATCACCTCATGTTTTTGGAACAATATTTTATAATATTGGTACATGAACTATAAAATGACAAAAAGTCTATAAAAATTCACTTTAAAAGAATCTCCGTAGCATTTTTGTTTTGCAAGCATTATGCACAAAAAGTCTAAAGGAGAAAGCTTGGCTGCTGAAAAAATCAGCATCAACTTCTGTTGCTAGCGAATTACAGGTAAACATATGTCTAAGTTGTGATTAAAAAATCAATTACTTAAACACGTGTCCAAGTTATGATTAAAAAATCAATTACTTAAATACGTGTCCACCCGTGATTTGCTAGCTGCCAAGTTCAGTTCAAGTCTAAAATGCTTTTTAGGTTAAAAAACAACAATATTTGTTTCCAATTCACATCACCTTTTTAGTTGTCATTTTTATTGATTTTTGGGGAAGATCTTATCCATAAACGACTTCATTGGTGTGCTCCTGCATATTTCTACTGTGCCCGATGACGTTATGCCCAACCTGTTAGAGCAGTTCCAGCGTAAGAACCTCACCAGGCAATACACTATGTTATCCATCCAATGAATAGTAATTGCCCTTAATGAACAGTAATCGCATTTTACATCTCCACCGTTGCACTTCAATAGCCCTAGTAATAGGCAATAAAATATTAGTATTTTTTTTATTTATAAAATAATAAAAAATAATTTTATTTGTAATTTCGGATAAGATTTTTAATCGTTCTCGTTGCGCCACATGTCATTATCCAAAAAGTTATAAAATAATACAAAATAATTTTATTTGTAATTTCAGATAATATTTTTAATCGTTCTTGTTGCGCCATTTGTCATAAAATCTGAAAAGACAATTATTGGTGATGGATTTCCGATAAGATTTTTAATCGTACTCGTTGCGCGTGTCATTATCTGAAAATACAATTATTGGTGATGGATTTCCGATAAGATTATTAATCAATTATGTCGCACCATGTGTCATAATCTGTTTACAATCTTTGAGGATAGATTTCCATCAGATTTTTAATGAATGACGGCATGCCACGTGGCATTATCTACAACCTAATCTTTTTTGAATCCTCCATATAATCCACCATCCATCCTCACAAATCTCACACCAATTTCTCAAGATCTCTATCATTATTCATAATTTATGCTTCCTTGTTCACCAAAATCTCTATCATTATTCATAGTTTCTGCTTCATTTTTACAATGTCTTCTTCTTCAAGGATGTTATGGGAAAATCGATCAACAAGAGGAAGAATTGTTTAACCAATCAGAAGGAATGTTCAATCTCCAAGTGGCCCAAAATGAAAGGGAAGAGGATAAGGAGCGTAGAAGGAGAGATGACAAAGCAAGAATGGCAAGAGCTTCACATTCCCGTCGAGTCATCCAAGTTGTGGGTCAGATTTGCATGCCCAACCATTTCGGAAACCTTGATAGAAGTAGGCAACGACGAGGTACGGAACTCTTAGACGATTATTTTGTCCGTAATAGTGCATTCCCTGATACGTATTTTAAATGTCGTTTTAGAATGCGACGACATTTGTTCAACAAAATCATGATTGCTATTTGCAACCATGATTCTTACTTTGTTCAAAAGAAGGATGCTTTTGGTGCTATGGGTCTCCTTCACCA